CGCTGGTTGCCATTGCAGCAAGGTCTGAAGGAGAAGAGTAAGGACCTGTGTGTTACAGAACACTAAAAATAAATTGAGTTGAGATTAGTGTTCCGAGAGAAGGAGATGAGTTTGTGGGTATATATAATAATAAGAAATCAGAAATGATGAAGTGGGGAGGAAGGGGTAATAGTGGGGCAGTAGCAGTAGCAGGAAGGGGAGATGAAGGTGAAGGATGGCTGCGCCAACGATGAAGTCTAACTTAAAATCCAAAAGAATTTGAACACAAGTATTGGTTGGTGGGAGTGGGAGTGGGACCAGGATTTGGTGCGTTGCTGGCTGGCTGGCTGGCTGGCTCAACCTCAACTGCTTCATGGATCAACTCTGATCAATGGAAGGAAAGCGGAAGTTTACCACTGTTTTCCCCGTGATCAATTTAGAATATAGGAGAGGAGGCTAAGCTATAGCCTATGGGTTTTCATATTTTCTTTTGATAATTGGGTGAGTTGGTGAGTGCTTGTCGCTTTGGTCTGGTGTGGCGGTGGCACTATAAATTTGACTGTTGATCAAGTCCAGTGGCCACTTAATTTACATATATATTGACCTTGACGAATTTGTGATTGACTTTGATGAGTAGAGACCTGACCCACAAGGCCACAACTCTTTTTTTTTTTTAATGTTTCGATAGGCATGACTCATGAGAGAGACCCACACAACTCTGTATTGTCTCCACGTCCGCCTGCCTCTTGATTCATTATTCTTCTTGCCAAAGCCAGCCAGCCCAGTCTTCTAGCTTTTGGCTAGTTGAGGTTCCTAAAAATCGGACTGAGCCACCGGTCCAGCTGGCAAGTTCAGTCCAGGATATTTGGTATTTCTTTCCATCCATCCGTGAAATCAGCACCGAACCCAGTCTGCTGATTATTAATTTCAGGTTTTCAATATCAATGCTGAAATTTCATCATTTTTACTCCCTTCCCTTCCCAGTTCCCCAGTTCCTATATGTGAGGTTCAGGTAATGGTATTCTTTATCAAATTTGCACCTGAGACTATGAAATACCCCCACCAACCCTGAGCAGAGAGAGAGAGAGTCTTATCTCTGTATGCTGCTGACGAATGCATAGTTAAGAGACCGAGGCAAAGCCTGAAAGCATCTTACCTTTAAAACAAGCTAAGTATGTGGATAAGGCAGGAGTTGGTAAGGAACGAGTCTTATGCAGCTAAGCTCACTTTGACAACGAACTTAACAAGTCTAAGACTATTTCTTCATTGTAACGGCACATGCTACGATAAAATTGACATTGTATAATCAAATTTTAACTTTTATATATCAACTGCACCAGACAAGTATTCGCTTTATAATAGTTTTAGATAGATGTGTAAAAGTGGTTGAATATAATCTATGTAGCGGGTGGATTTAATTGAATATATATATATATATATGCATAATTTCTTAAGCAGTATCCGTGAAAAATCAAAACTTGGAGATTGCTCCCACAAAATGCGTTCCAACACGCTTCCAATTTAATCTGGCACCACACATCTCACCGAGTCCGGATCTCCGGCTAGCAAAAATCCCAACCAACATGATCTGTATCCACACATTAAGTGTGGAACCCATCATACATGTGATGTGCAGATACAGATGATATTGGATCTCATTGGTTAGGTTTTTTATTGGCAGGAGATTCTAACTCGTATGAGATGTGCATTGTCAATCATGTTGAAATTAGAAAATTAATACAATTTTCCGAGAAAAGCAAACCATAAATTTATCTTTTTTTTCTTTGAGGTTTTTATGATTCAGTCGAACTAAGATTTTTTAGGGGTAGACTGAATCCTGCTCGTGGATTGATGCTAAATTTACGGGCAGGATGTAGTTTATAAGGGGCATTGCAGTCCAAAAATTCCTTTTTCTTTTTGTTTTGTTGATGTGGCAATTAWAATTTGTTTTGAAAAACAAAATATCAATGTCTAGTGACCATAATACACTGGCCACAATACCCTACAACAACACATCTAGAACATTAAGGAGGTTATAAGGGGTGTTGGTCAATATATAGGGTTTTTTTTATCATTTTGTTGATATGGTACTTGTATTTTATTTCATAAAACAAAGCCATGCATATCATGGTTTTCAAAACCGGACCGGATCGGAAAAACAGGGAATCGGTCACTGATCTGACCGCTTCCGTTTTTCCCCAAAACCGTTGATTTTGGTCAGCAAACCACTGAACCGGCCAGTTAACCGTTTGAACAGTTTTAGCCATTTTTTTATTTTTTTTATTTTTTTTATCTTTTCTGTTAGAACGAGCCGACCATTCGGGTTCAAACCGATAACTGAACCCCTGACCGATCCGATTTTAAAAACTATGATACATATTGTTTAACAAAAGGTTTACTGACCACATCAGGAACAATCTGTTGTACGAGTCCAGATCTGATCATGATACATTGCTGGCCATGCCCATCCAGTTATACATCCGGAATATCGGTGATATAAAGTATAATCAATATTCCCGATATATGACACGATACGTATGTGTGATTCATGGAAGATGTTCCCATGTGAGGTTGTAGTGCCTTGTGGCTAGTATGTTGCCAGTGTATTGTACTTGGTCAGCATATCTGAACTCTTGCCTAACATCCTACATCCATTAGATATAAGAGAAAACTTTGGCAGTCCATATTTACAGCCTGAGCCTGGGCTGTTAACAGGGCTTTTGCTGCGTGAGTTAGTTCACGCCAATCGCCAGGAATGTACAAAGCACCAGATTTTAGATCTACTAGCCACAAGAAACTATAGCCGCACATTTCCCAACGATAAAGCATGGTTTTCAAACCATGGAGCTTTTAATTYATGTTTTTTTATTTCAGTTTTTAATTTTTTCTTTATAAAAGTATTAAAATTGCATTTTGAGGTTAAAAAAAGGGTTTTTTGTGAAAACAGTAAAGCAAGACACCTACAGCTCCTTGGAACGCACAGAGCTTAAAAAGTTACCCCCAAAAAATTACCTCAATTAGACATTAAAGTACAAATTTATGGCCTCCTAAATTTTGCATACGTAGTTAGTATGTAACTTGCAATCTGATCACCATGTTGATCAGGTCAACAGTCCAACCATCTGGGTGAGATGGTTTTTGACAAAATCAACATTTTTGGCAATTTTTTGGGTTTTACTTAAATTAAATCTAAAATCTTGACCAAATAACAGTTCAAACAGTTCAATTGATCGAATCAATGATGAGTTGAAAACACTAACCATTACAAAGAGTTTGTATGAACTTATATATCATGCAAAAAAAAAAAAATCAAAATATTGATACCATGATACGTATTACTTAAGACTTGATGAAACACTAGTTTTTTTTTTTTTTAAGACGAAACAATAAATAGGATAACCTTGAACACCCCCCCAATACTAAGGTGTGTTTGTGTCTCTTTGCTACCTCAATTATCAAAAATTACATACTGTTCTTACCCATGATCCACCCCACCCCCAATTTTTACAACTATACCGCAAAAGCTCCTCCATTAGCCTACTGTGAGGAAAATGGGTGGAAAAAAGTTACATGCAATCATGTGATTTGTTAAAATTTTCAAAATGCCCAGATTGCCCTTATCTTCTTCATGTGGCATTTCAAGAGAAGAGAAGGGCTTGTTTTCTAATTTGCTTCTTCTTTGGTGGTGAGATGCTTAATTTTGTTTTGTTGGATTTGATCAGAATAAAACCCCACCATACATGCAAAACAAGCAGGATAAATTTCGTCATTTTACTTTCACTATTGACACAATTGTGATAGTTCATTTAAAGAAAAAAAAAAACTTGTGAAAGTAAGAGAGGAGGGGGCATATAAGGGTTAAAGCATGGTTTTCAAATCACCATTGATCAGACGATTGGATCGTTCGACCCAGGAACTGTTCAAGCAATCGGTTCTGTTTTACCCCAAACCTAGTTTTTGGCCAAAAACCATTGAAAAAGTTAATAATTCGTGGACTCAGGCAGTTGAACCATCAAACCCGTTTAATAGTTTTTGATTGTTTTTTATTTCTAATTTTTTATTAGAACAAGCCATGCATTTAAACCAGACGATCGGACCGTCGACCCAAAAACCGATGGCCAAAACGATTTTATTTCCAAATTGTTTTTTTTTTAATTATGGTTTAGATTATCGATCCGCCCTTTATCAAATGTATCATATCGTATCAACAAGCCACCAATACTCTAAATAGAGAAGATTTGGGATTTTTGGTATTTTTAGAAGGTAGACAGGCCTAAAAGTCTAAAACCAATCAAACAATTTTGGGTAAAAAAACTAAACAAAATAATGTTTTGTGGACCGATATGCAGGTTCTTGCCTATGGGATGTTATTATATTTTAAAACATGGAGATATCTGCAACTTTTGATAGTTTTTAATAATAAAGACTAAAGGACACAGTTACCTTTTAAATAATAGCGTGCAATAATGGTGGAATAATGGACGTCCACTAAAACTCAAAAAACAGAGTATTGATGCTTTTAATTACTCGATGTACTGAATTTTAACATTACACAGTACCGACGCCCCTTTGAACCTTACTATAAATAAGATACAAAAGATACATGATAATAATTTATATGAAGTGTGTGGATATTACTATCAAGGTATACCTAAAAAACGTGGAAAGTGATATACGCACGCTTTAATCCACTAAAACAAATCTCATTAATAATTCAACTAGCGGGGGGCTGGGCTAATGACAGATTGTAGAGATCTTGGATTGGATTGGATCAGATTCTACTTTATATTTTTTAAATTAAAAAATAATTACCTTTTAACTTATTTATCATTCATTAATATAAATATAAAAATTGAAATTATCATATATAAATTTATAGATTAAATTAATATATTATAAAATAATCTGATTTGAATGTATCATACAAAGGAAGCCTATCGCACATATTCAAAGTATGAGAACAAAACATCAAATGGGTGTTAGAATGAGCATCAACTGGGCAAGAAATATCCCATGAAACATAATTGCAATTCCTGACTTTTATTGAATAAACTGGAAGGTAGGAAATAAAACTTGTACCAATACAATCTTCAAATGTGATGTAGCATAAATTTGTCAATACTTTGAGTTTCACTTGTTTCCTCCAAGTAAATTCTCTATACATTGAGTTCAAGAAATGGAAAAATGATGAATTAGAAATTAAAACCTAACTACTTTAAATAAAAAAGAAAAAAGACTGAGCAAATAGTAAGAAAAAAGATTTTAAATTAACAAAAAAGAAGGCTAAAAATGTTGCTTGTTCACAAATACATAGAGGGCTTATGACTAAATTTAAGTAATATATGATGTTCATGTTCAACTTTGTGCATCTGCAAAATTGAAAACAAAATCAAATCATTAGTTAGATATAATGGATAAACCAACCAATTTCAACAAAAAGAAAAACAAAGTTAGCATTCATAAGAGGAAGGGAAAGTTGTATTTGGTTTTATTGCTGGGGGTTGTCCCACCAGGCATCAATAGGGAAATTTGTATTTGATTTTATTGATAAAGCTGGGACATTATTTCTAAGATAAGTTGTTGCCTAAATGATTTGTTCCGAGATGTTAGATGTTACAATGTCGTTGGAGGACGAAATCCACCCTCGTCAAATGATACGACCAGCGTGTCCACCATGCAAAATATAATTAGTAGGTATGATTAATTAAAATTCATTATGTTGTAATTAATTACAACTAAGAGATTAAGGGATTGATTACTTACCCACTTAATCTCTTGAATGATTACTAGATTGATTACTTACCGATGTAATCTCCTAAACGGTCGCCGGTAATTCGACAAAGCAGACAACACTATCAGCTCAGCTGGTATGAACTACAAGAAGTGTAGGAGAAGAAGAGAGAAGGGGGTAGGGTGATAGAGTTTCGGGGTAACACGGTTGAGCACCGAATGAAGACAAATCCATCTTGTAGAAGAAGGAAGGTAGGGTTTGGGACTTTGGGACCGAGAAGAAGAGGTAGGGGGCAAAAGAGGGTTGCAAAGATCGGACAAGAGAAAAGAGCCTATAGGAGCAAAAGTACATACTGTCCGAGGGGAAAACAGTAGGGTCTCTTTCGCTCTCCTTAACCGGAGGGCAAAATAATAGGGTTTCCTTACCTCTCCTTCTCGGTTAGAGTAGAAGGATATATAGAGTTGAGGGAAAAACGGAGATTGATTGCTTATCGATGCAATCTCCTAAACGGTCGCCGGTAATCTAACGAAGCAGACAACACTATCAACTCAGCTGGTATGAACTACAAGAAGTGTAGGAGGAGAAGAGAGAACGGGGTAGGGTGGAAGAGTTTCGAGGTAACATGGTTGAGCACCGAATGTACACAAATCCATCTTGTAGAAGAAGGAAGGTAAAAGAGCACTATAGGAGCAGAAATCCATACTGTCTGAGGGGAAAACAGCAGGGTCTCCTTCGCTTTCCTTCACCAGAGGGCAAAACAATAGGGTTTCCTTACCTCTCGTTCTCGGTTAGAGTAGAAGGAGATACAAAATTGAGGGCAAAACAACAGGGTTTCCTTAGCTCTCATTCTTGGTCAGAGTAGAGGGATAGATAGAGTTGAGGGGAAAACGACAGGGTCTCCTTCGTTCTCCCTCACCAGAGGGAAAACGACAAGATTTCCCTTAGCTCTTGGTCAGAGAGAGAGAGAGAGAGAGAGACTGTAAGAGTTAAAAATGAGTAGAGAGAGATAAAAATGAGTAGAGAGGCGGGGCCGCGGGGGAGGCAGAAATTTGAGTCACACGATTGTATTGGATTGCTCTCACGTGGGATTCTTGATCTACTCGCACAAGTGGATGCCATTTACTAAAACCTGGTGCTGCCACGAATCACCATTCCATATATATATAAAAGATACTTGAAAACGTTAAATTCAATGGTCAGTTGATTTTTTTACTTTTTCATCTTTCATTGTTGATGTGGCACCAAGAAGTGAAAATTTTGATAAAGTTTTAATTAATCCCGTGTTATTTTAACAAGTTGTTACGATCTTATGATAGATGCAATTGTTAGACTGTTGTCTTTCACGTAGTGATGGCAATTTCTATCCTATTCGGTGGGTATTTTTTGCTTAAATGATGGGATTCTACAATCCATGTGGGTACAGGTAGGGTATGGAAATAGGCTAAGCCTGATCATTTCCAACCCGTATATTGTTGTAAAGCATATAAATTTTATGTACTAGTTGTTGGATTTAATAATATTTTAAATTTTATGTGAAGGATAATTGATAGTTTATGTATTTTTTACATTTCTTAGTCAAATAACTAGAAATCTTGATGTTTATTTGTGTTATTTTACTTATTTATTGCTTATATATGACAAAAATAATAGGAAATTAGATATAGGTTTTAAACCCAATTCACTCCTATCCTTGAATGCTGGGAGGGCAGGGTCGGGTAGGGTTTTGCACTTTCATGTGCAGGGAGGGTTTGGATTCTCAAAATCCAATGCACTGCGAGTTTTGGGGTGGGTACGGGTTGAGAGGTTTCGAGAAACAGGTAGGGTCTAGAATTTACAAAGCCCTCCCCGAACCCACCTCGTTGACATCCCTACTTTCACGTAGGTGACTGAAATTTAAAAACTTAATATTTAATTGCCATTTTCAATAAGGTTAGTAATAATAGAATAGGTCATGGCAATACTAAAATACTGGTACCAAGTTGGAGGATATGCATCCTATCATAATCATTTCATACACTAATTTTAGGTTTTATTGGTAGGATTTAAGAATGTATGGTTTAAAATTCAAATGTTTAAGGATTTAGGGTTTAAAGTTTAAGATTTAGGGTTTAAGAATTTAGAGTTTAGATTTTAGATTTTAGGGTTGAAGGGTTAAAGAGTTGAAGGGTTTAGAGTTTAAATTTAGGGGTACAGTCTACTTATCCCTTAAATTTAAGGGTTTAGGTTTTAGATATAAAAATCAGGAGGTGGAAAGACTCGTGTCCGTGGTAGACAAACCAAGTATTGCCCATTACTGGCCAAAGCTGCATGGTCCCTCATGTTTCCTTTTGGAGAGCTCAGAGCTCAGAGCTCAGCTACGATCTAGGCCATCTTGGGCGAGTTCGGATTCAGTCCTCATTGAACCGTTTATGTTTATTTTCATAAAAAGATATTCTCAATGCATGATTGCAAGAGACTGTGAACAAGGTCTTGTTTCTTCTTGGTCCTGGAGGAGTCTGTTAATGTGTGAATACATGAGTCCTGGATGACTCATGTGACCCAAATCCCTCTCACCTCAAGGTTTATTCAAACCGGACTTCAGATCCTCCTGTTACGAAGGTCACAGATTTGATAAATCACAGTTTTCGGCCCTGGAAGATAAGACCTGATGAGAATTTTGTTGTGGGAGGAGGAAGACGAGGCAATTCTTGCAATCCCTTTATGCGGGGTCAAGAAGCAGGATGAAATAGTGTTGGGCCTGACCAGAGATGAAAACTTCTCAGTGAAGTCCACTAATTATGTGGCCAAAGAAAAGTCTTCACTAGCAAGCATGCAGATGCTATGCCTACTCCTGTGTCTGGTCGGAAAGAAATATGGAAGCTGAAGGTAACCCAAGAATTAAGTTTTTTCTATGGCGGTGCTGCCACAATGCAATGCTGTTCTGTCAATGGCTAGACTCAAAGAAAGACATCTTCAAGACCACGACTCTTGTCCTAAATGTGGTGATCACCCTGAGACTCTAGGCCGCCATGCCCTTTTGCTAGAGCCTTTTGATTTGAATTTCGAAATCGAATTTGATCCTCAGAAAACCGTCTTCATACTGTCCTCACAGCCTCTCTCCCCATGAATAAATAGACACAACTAACGGAGATATTCTCAATGTAGGACTGCAAATGGCTGTGAATACAGTATGAGAACAGTTTTATAAGGAGGAAATCCGAATTCCTTTGATTCCGTTTAAACTTCGCATCAAATCCCTCAAACTGGCAATCAGATGACATCGGTTGGGTCCTTTCTTGGCTTAAGCACTTAAACTCTTATCTCCTCTCAGTCTGGGCGATTGCTTGAAACTCAACGAACACTCTGGTTCATGAAGACCGATCCGACTTCCAAAATTGTTGATTGCTAGAATTTCATTGCCTGGTTCCGAGCTCAGTTAAGCTCTCCCAAATTCTTTGGCTGGTCCACCCTCGCCTTCTTGGGAAAGCCCGGTAGAGGCTTTTTTTAAATGAAGAAGTACGGATACACCCAATGCAAAATTCTGAATTCCAGCCCCCCCCCCCCCTACTACTAGCCCTTTCCCCCCTTGTAAACCACATCCTGCCCGTGAATTTGGCATCAATTCATGGTCAGGATGCATTCCCCCTGTTGTGGCTATAAATCAATATGGGAATATAGGGAAAAGTATGGAAACATACGATGCAGAATTCTGACCCCCCCCCCCCCTACTACTATCCCTTTCCCCCCTATAAACCACATCCTGCCTGTGAATTGACATCAATTCACAGTCAAAATGCATTCCCCTGTAATTTGGGGCTATATAATTCTGATCTGGGCTGATTGGTCATTCTCCCTTTTTTTTAATTGAACTAAGATACGTCCAGAAGTCTCGCATGATAAAGCAGCTATTGGTTTCACCATAAGATATTTTGGCGACCGTAACTCCGCAGGCGGTGGTCGGATTGCATCTTCCTCTTTTTTAATTCTTGAAGCTTTGGCTGTTAGAAGAGGACTAGCCGAAGCTTTGAGCCTCAGTATTCCAAACCTTTTGGTTGAATTGGATTCCCAAGAGCTTAACAACGCTGTTCGATGAAGCACAGTGGGGTGGCTCCAATCCTTCTGATTAGCAGAAGTGATAATCAGATCGCTCACAAGAATACAAGATAGCTGCAGTTTGTGCTGCCCCAAAAAAAAAATTGATAACAATGTGAACGATGTTTACACTTTACAGTTTACCAACCCATTTGCATCATGCGTAGACACCATGTCAAACAGAGGAGTGAGATTATTCAGTAATGCAATATTCAACAAAAGAATGGCCACTATGCCCCCCACCTACCAAAGGCGTGAACCGCATTATAACAGTGGTCAGGACTCAGGAATAAAGTGGTTTCTTTGTGCTTAAATACCTACTTGCGGTCAATTTCTAAAACAGAACACATTTATTCCGAGAAGACTTTCACTTGAATACCTACGAATCTACGATCAACAACCAAAGCTGCAGCCTTTAACAACGAAACTCGTTTCCTCCAGAGTTGATACCGACCAAGCCTACCTCAGTGACGGAACGAACAGACGTTAGTGAACGACTCAGGTTCAATGTTATTAATCAGAAACTGTGGTAGAATAGATTACCAAAGGGCGTCGACGGAACAGAACCATAAATTCTACAGCCTACAGGGAACGCATAATCCTAGCAATTCTGGGTTCTCTAAAAATGTAATCGAAAATGATATGACCACTCGAGAACCAGTAGACCAATCTGTGACTTTAAAAGTACTTGGTAGCTTTTCTGTCAGATCATTAGAAATGCGTATACGAAAAAGGGTTCAACGGCAACATGCACAAGATGGTGCTTATGATGGTCATGCAATTAAAAAAGAAAATGCATGACTGCTAATCCAACAATTCCCTACCGGGGAAAAAATAATATCCTACTTGAAATTAAACAAAGGGCATTTTAAAGACTTACAGAGAAGTAGAAGTAGCATTTCTGTTCCAGAGTCACATTCAAGATCAAAGCACCCCCTACACAACGTGCCCAACGGGCACCAGACTAGAAAAAACCTACAATTACACAGTTAGCCAAGTGTACCATTAGAACATACAGATTGTAAGAATCCATCTGTTTATGCCATCAAGGACGTGCTCTCTTGTTGCTGCAAGACGGACACTTGTACTGTTTGATGTGTTCAGCCCTCGCTGGGGTGATCTTCACACACTTTCCATGGAACCACTTTTCGCAAATGTCACAGCAAATCCAGAACTCATCTGAAGCATAGTTCTCACCACAAGCTCCACACAGGGTCTCTCCATGCTCCTCTTCATCTTCCTCGTCTAAACCCTCCTCCTCTTCCTTTGGAAGCCCTTTAGAATACTTGCCCTGAGATTCAGACCCTCGCTGCCAAAATAAATGGTAAGATATATATATATATCAATAACAGGTTAATAAGGCTTTCTGGACAAAGAGAATGAAAGCACTTCATTTTACTTTTTCATAGCATTTCAACAGATGACCAGTATTTTAAAAACCGGTGCAGAGGCTGAACCACTTCCCATCCAGGTCACAGGTCAGCGGTTTACCCATTTGGGCCGCATGGGTCACTTTACTTTTTAAGATTTTATGAACTAGGAAAGCTAAAACTTGAGATTGAGGGAAGAAAAAAGGCTTTACAAAAAAATAGTGGGCCAAGACACCTTAGGCACTTTACATCACATAGATCGCAAAAAGTAAACCAAAATATAAAAATTAAAAAAAAAAACAATTTGACCACCAAGCGCAAGGTTATGGCCTCTAGAACTTTCTGTACTATAGTAATTTGTAACCTGTGACCTGTTGCCAGGGTCAAACAGTGGCAGTTCAACCACCTATCAATGGTTTTAACCAAGTCAACAGTTTCTGACCAATTCCAGGGTTTGGGGTTTACCCGCACTGGAATTGATGCCAAGTGACAGTTCGAACAGTTCAACCACCCAGGTCTACAACGGTCTGAAAACACTGCAAATGACAAAGAAAGTTGGATAGGTGGTGTGCAACAAGCTCTTTTTTCATGTTCAACAGGAAGTTCATCTGATGGAATTATCAAAAACCTGGAATCCAGTCGTTTGTGTTACCAGTTTGACCACCCAGGTCACAACCTTATGTTGGGTTTCTGCCCAACACAGACACTGATTCGAGATAGTGTAATCTCCTAGAGAAGAAGAGAAAAGGGAAGAGAGAAAACAGAGAGGTTTCTGGGTTGAGTCAAGGTGTGTTTCTTATTGCTTTGCCCTTTATTTATAGGTGTACAATTGGTAGTTGTAACAACTCAAGAATTCAAGAATCAAGATTCCCACTTGTATCTTGCATAGCTGGCTTTACTCCATGTGCCATTTTCCTTGAGTAAACCCTCTTAATAGCAGGTCTACTGACTTCATTTTGTTCTTGGCTTCTAATACCTTACAACTGCAAAATTGAAGCCCATTACAGAGAAGACTTCGTGCTAATTGAAGGCAGAACTATTAGCCCTTTTTCAAGGGGTGAAATTAGCACAAAGCAGAGGCTGTTGTGGGTTTGAAGTTGAAGGAGACTGTTAAGTGGTGATCAGTTAGTTTTTCCAAAGCTGAAGAACTTGATACCTTAGATCTCAAATTACAGGGTCTGCTAGGTGCTAACAGGCTTAGCAGATGGTTGGCTAGAATGGTTGTCAACAAAAGAGAGCAAGATTGAGCAATGCCAGGACCAAGGGAAAATTTGTATTACATGATTCTCTCAGCAAATGGCCTAAATGCTTTTTCTGCCACTAGTCTCTTTTTGGAAAATGTTTCTTTTCCCAAGTCATTTCACATACAACCAGTGGAAAATAGAATTTTTGGAAACTGTACATTTTCATCTTATCATAATCACCATCACCATCATCCATGCCTATTATATGCAATTGGGATCAGCTAAATGAATCCTGTTTTGCCAATCCATTCATTTTCATCTTATTTGCAACCAAAAAGAGCACAGAAGGTATGATTAAGGGTGCAAATTAGTCATGCAGAACCACCACCTGTTACAAGAAATTATAAAGACAAGAGAAGAGAAGAAGTTTGAAAGATGATATGAAAGACTTATATTTCTCAAAAACATAATGTCATACAACCCTAACATAATGTGTATTTAAAAGAAACCTAGAACCAAAAATTACAATTAAGTCCCTATCAAATATGAAAGTTTCACTTAACCCCCCCCCCCTCCAATGAAAATTACAAATACCCACCAAGAAGAAATTTTACAATTAAACCCAAATTGTGCATTAATCAAAGTAACCCTAAGCTAATGCCGTCTACACCTAAAATAAGTACGAATTCTATGTGGTGCTTTGGTCTCAAAGTTATCTCCATCAATTAGGTACCTGGTTTGAAAATTTTACACTCTCAGGCCCTGGTTCTCAAGCTGGGCCCACCCAAATTGCACCCCTAGGTATGATAGATTCCATGCTAAAATCAATTAGAAAGAGATGAACCTCCTATTCTTCCCTGATAAAATAAAATCAATGACTTGTTGCTAAAAGAATAGGTAAGACTTTTCCACTCTACAGTCCACACTCCACACTCGTTCCAGTTGAAAATATCTTTTACATAAAAAGAAGTCAAAAAATAAACCAATTGAATCGAGAAATTTGGGGAAGAGTTTCAACAACTAAGAATTGATAAAATTAAGAAACAGTAATATAGGTGACATTTGGCACTCAACCATCTAACTCAGCACATGCTTGGACAATTAGAAAGGGTAAATTAATGCCAACCTAGAGTCCAAAATACTAGTCAGTCCAACTACAATGCATGTCATGGACCAATCATTTAAAACTTGGCCCAAAGAAAAAGGAAGAAGAAGAAACTTCAAGATTGCTTTCTTGTAGGGGTGAGCATTTGGTTAAAACCAAAAAAAAAAAAATGAACCAAAAGTTTCAGTTTCGGTTTTTTTTGTTCAGTTATTTCAGATTTTAGTTAATTCAGTTTGGTTAGCCGAAAAAACCAAATTAACTGAACTTTATTATTTATACAATATATATATATGTGTATATATTAATATTATATATATATATATATATATATATATATATGTGTGTGTGTGTGTGTGTGCACATGTGTGTGTGTTAACATATATTAATATATTAAAGAAAACCGGTTTTAACTGAAACAACCAAATAAACCGATTGTTCACTTGTCACAGCCCAATAGTCAATGTTCTGAAACTTATATTGGAAATTGGAATTTGCATCAGTGCCTCACAGCCCATCCCAGCTGTGTATTAGGATCATCTCCCCATGATAAGTACGGGAGATGTTCCCAATGCATGCTGAGATGTGCATGTGGGGCATGCTCTGTGGGGTGCCAATCTGATCTCCCTATATTGGAAACTGACTCACTAAGGCTGATGGATAACGGTCCAAATCCCTATATTTGTTAGCATCTACGAATAAGCCAGTCTCAGGCCCAAGCAAAATCCCAAAGAGTCTGACCATCCAGTCTAGTCAAAAGTCACATAACATGGCAATTACTTTGATCAGATTCTATTTACCAACTGTAAGCCAGAAAAAAATCACTTTACCGATTTAGAATTTGGCTTGGATTTGTTGCTGCTATGATTTGAAACTGACGATTTTTCCTTTACTTGTTTCTTTGCAGTTCCAGTCACAACCTCGAAAATTGTCGGGAGATCATTTATCATGCTAAATAGACGCTTCCTGCATGACAAAATTCCAGCATGAATTTTTCTTTTTCTTTCATGCAGGATTCATGCTGTTGGCCACACTTAAGTGGGAAAGGATAGAAGAAGACTTTTTTTGATAAATAGGATAGAAGAAGAATTCTAATACAGCATTATAATACAAAGAATTATAATACAGCATTTCACTTAAAAAGTCCAAACCAAAAAAAAAAAATAAACATAAGAATTTCTTTTTTTGGGTGGGTAGAAAAGATAGAAATTTTCTTTGCATAATAATGAAACAAGCTGATTACAACTTACAAGCACCCAATAGATTAAACTTCTACTAACAATATGGTTCACGACCTCCAGTTAACCTTATTGTTTGCAGTTTAGCACCAAAACTGGATCAAAGATCAAGCATGCCTTCAGCGTATTCATCTAAGTTCTTCCAAAAAGAAGTTGCAATCATGTGCTCTACATAAGCACAATAAGCGACCAGCTCAAGTTGGAAAAGTTATATTGAAAAAACATGATGCACCTTTGTTACAACCAAGTACACTAACCGTATTCCAGAACCAGCAAAGCATCCACAAATTCTAATACCTTTCCACTTAGATTATATTTTGCATAAAAAACCAAAAAGACAGTTTTTTTTATGAATAACGGTAAATTTCATTGTGTAATTGCTGATTTGATCAGTCGGCCTTTTCTGGGACTGATCTCAGCCTCCATTGTATAATTTTTATCTCAATAAATATTACTTAACCTTTTCCAAAAAAAAAGGGTAAATTTCATTAAATACCACCTTAATACACAGAAATAGTGCAGCAGGCTAAAAGGAAACAAACCAGCTCACCCAAATGGGGCCATATACAGCAGAGAGCTCATAAAAAGATAGACAGAAAAGATGAACTTAAACCTTACAAATTACAACCCAGATCTGGTTAAGGATTAAATAATGATACAATACACCCTGTATCAGGCGTATTGCATCAGAACTAGTGCATCCAAATACACATGGATACACCAATACAAAAGTGTTTTAAAACATTTAAAACATTCCAATAGATCCAAACCCTCCAATGATTATAAAATAAGAAAAAAGTAAAAACAATTTAAAAAAGGGAGTACCAGTCTTTCTTTTTTTTTTTTGGGAAAAAGGTAACATAATATTTATTGAATCAAAAGCTACACAAACAAGCTGAGATCAGTCCCAGAAAGGCTGACTGAACAATTCAGCAATTACATATTCCACCAAGAACTGGAATGAAAAACAACAGACAAATTACAATTTCTGAACTCCTCAAAGACCGACACCCAAGAGATTAATTTGCCCACAGCTTTCTGGATAACCTCTTCAAGACTTAAAGCCTTATTACAGAAAAGCCTGCTATTCCTCTCAGACCAGATGGACCATAAGACAGCACTAGGAATAGTCTTCCACACTATCTTTCTTTTCTTGTTAAGCCCATTAAAATTCCAGCAACACAAGAGCTCCTTTACCGAACTTGGCATAACCCATCTTAAGTTCATAGAGATGAAGAAGTGATTCCACAGCTGAGAAGAAAATGGGCAGTGAATGCACAAAAGATCAGTAGTTTCAGAATTGTTCCCACAGATTGCATGAAAGGTCCAAAAGCCGAATGCCCCTTCTCACAAGATTAGCTCTAGCCAGACATTTATTCAGAACCATAGTCCATACTAGAAAGTTGGATTTAGATGGGCTAATGGGATTCCACACCTGATGACAAGGGAAATCAGTAGCACCCATTCTACAAAGTTTGGAAGCCAAGGACTTGACAGAGAAAACACCATCTGGATTCCACTTCCAATACCACTCATCTTCTGAGCAGAAGTCAACCTCTTGAGTCTGAAGAACCCAGTCGAAAAGGTTCCTTCTAAAGGTAGGGGACCAAAAAACTGAATCTCCAGATAAGCTGCAACACTCAGCAAAAGAAGCCTCTTGGTTAGATGCACACTAAAAGAGGAGAGGAAAAGATTCAGCAAGGGGGCCATCCAAGCACCAAGAATCCTTCCAAAACTTGGTTCTACTACCATTGCCAACCTTAATTGAGATCCCATCAGCAAGAACAGAGAAGTTCATCATTATCCCTTTCCACAGAGAATTTCCCCAACTGGGAGGAGGGTCCCTAGTTCTCCAGTTGCTCCACTCCACTCCATACTTGCCAACAATGAGAAATCTCCTAGGCATCATTTTCAGCCGCAAATCTCCAAATCCACTTATAGAGAAGGGCAGAATTAAAAGTTTCAGCTTCCTTATGCCAAAACCACCTTCATCCTGGGGAGGCAGACTTGATCCCAACTAACAAGATGAATTTTTTTCTCCTCTTCCCAACCCCTCTAAAGAAAATTCCTTTGGAGTTTTTCAAGCTTTCTTGCAACTTTGTTAGGAATTGGGAAAAGGGAAAGAAAATAGGTAGGTAAATTGGAGAGTGTGCTCTTAATCAAAGTCACCCTACCCCAAGAAAGGTATTTTGCCTTCCAAGAAGCCAATTTTCTCTCCATTCTTTCAATAACCAGGTCCCAAATTGAAGATAGCCCACAACTCACCCTCAGAGGAAGACCCAAATATTTAACTGGAAGAGACTCAACCTGACAAGCCAAAATCTCCGCACAATCAACTAAGTTGGATACCTGACCCATTGGAATGATTTGACTTTTATTCCAATTGACTTTAAGGCCAGAGACCACCTCAAACCAAGATAATTACATAAAGTATCATTTGCAAATTGGAGAATGTTAACCTTCTCCCCCTCCAAAGTAATTGCAAAACCTTCCCACTCACCAGATTCAGCAACCTTTTTACAAAACAAAGTGAGGATCTCCATTACACATATAAATAGTAATGGAGACAGGGGATCACCCTGTCTAAGACCCCCGCAACTATCAAAGAGGCTTGCAGATTGTCCATTAATCAAGACTAAAAATTTTGGAGAGGTGATACATACTTTTATTCAGTTCCTCCATTTCTGCCCAAAATTCATCTGCTGCAATACAAGATCAACACATCTCCAGTTGGCATGATCATAAGCCTTTTCAATATCAAGTTTACAGATCAGCCCTGGGGGAACCTTCTCTTCTTATTGAATGAATTAGCTCATTGGCAATAAGCACTGAATCAAGCATCTGTCTACCCGGAACAAAGGCACTTTGATTGTTAGAGATAACACTACCTAAAACCCCTTTCATTCTCTCAGCAAGGACTTTGGCTAAGATTTTACAGAAGCTATGCAGAAGACTAATCAACCTAAAATCTTTTATATTCACTGCACCTTCAATCTTCAGAATAAGGGTAATAAAGGTAGTGTTTAAACTCCTCTGCAGTGAACCTCTCTCATGAAAGACATTCAGAATATCCTATTTTACAAAGTCCCAGCATTTAATGTAGAAAAGATTTGTAAGTCCATCTGGCCCCGAGGAGTACCAGTCATATTGATACATAATTTGAGTATCAAGTGTATCAATATTTTAATCCTTAGGCCTAATTCTAACTCAATTTTCCCAACCCCAACTCTAGCCAGAGAATCTGCCAATAGCATCACTCCTATGAACCCATTTGAATGAGAAATTCAATAAGCCACCTAGAAATTGAACCAATCTCACCAGTTTGGGTATCAAGTGTATCGATATTTTAATCCTTGGGCCAGGGCAACCCAATTCTAACTCAATTTTCCCAACCCCAACTCTAGCCAGAGAATCTGCCAATAGCATCACTCCTACGGACCCATTTGAATGAGGAATTCAATGAGCCACCTAGAAATTGAACCAATCTCACCAGAGTCCTGAATTTCTAAGGACATTGGTCCTATGAACTCATCCGGCAAATGATGGTTTGACAGTCCCCTTCCACTTCCACATTCCTCATACCTTGCGCACTCAATGGTTTCAAGCCTTGAAAAGCTTAGAGAAGAATGTTACTAACAGCACCCTAACATAAGAAGCTCTTGGATTCCCTAAACAGAACCCATCAAAGTTAAATTTTACCACCCCAAAAGAAGGGGGAGTCCACTCTACCAATCTCTGTTGCATGTTATTTCGGATATTAGCCACAACCTGCCAGCCCCTCAATAAATCAAGGGAAACTCCTTAAATTTTCAGAACACTGAAACAGATCAAGCATGTCTTTAGCATATTCATCTTTAAATTTTCCAAATGGAAGTTGCAACCATGTTATCTATATCACAACTCACAGATAACCATAATAAGCGACCAGTTTAAGTTAGGAAAATAATTTGAAGGAACATGATGCACCTTAGTTCTAACCTAATGGCCAGCACATCAACTATATTCTAGAACCAGCAAAACAACCACAACTTTTTTTTGATAATTACAAAACAACCACAACTTCCTATACCTTTCAGCTTTAGATAATAATATGCATAAAAAAAGGCATTTGAAGCAAGGTGCAAACTTTTTTTAAAATTTCAAAAAAAAACAAAAATAAAATGAAAATGATATCAATTCAAAAAATTCAAACTTAGGTTTTAAAAGAACTTAATATTTTAAAAATCCTATTGGCTCAAATTATAATACATAATATATAAAATATATTCAAAGTGAATATATAAAAATAAAAACAAAAATATAAAAATATTCAAGCACTCAACAATTCAAACAAGTGAAACTTTCCATCTATTTATTTTTATCCCAATTACATTACTTCAAGCAGTTAATGTGATGTTAAACATATTGTGTTCCTATTTCTATGAGATTGCCATCATAGAAATAGATTGGTTCTGTGAAGGTCCTAAAATATATAAAGAGATTGGTATTGTTATTTTAGTTGCATTTCATAGTGTTTTGGGAATAGAAATCAAATGGTTTGACAAAAAATATTGTGTTAAAAAGGACGAGAAAACACTAGCAAAAAGGGGGTTTGGACGCAAGATTGGGCTGAGGCGCATGCATGGGCTCAGGTGAAAGGCACACAAGAGGCACGCCTTTTCAAAGGGGTCGTGCCTAGGCAAGGCAGATACCTTACCTCCAGTGTGCCTAGGCATGCCTTTAAATCACTAGTTGAGTATAGGTGTACTATATGGTGGACAAGTCGGGTTGGATTCAATATCTCTTCTTCATTTAGTCAGGTTGGATTGTGGCTTCAGGTCAGTGTTTTAAAAGTGTAAGGCACAAAAGGGAATTTTACACTTGAGGAGCAAGGTGCAAGGTGAGACGTGTGCCTTTTTCGGGGTGCAACTTGGGCAGGCTTGGGTTGGCCTTTTGTCGAAAATTTAAATGGACCAAACCCAAAGGCTTGATTCCAAAGCAGCATAAAATGCTAACTCGGTCCAACCTGAGTTGCACCCCTAGACTTTTTGAATTAAGGTGCAAATTTAAAAAAAAAATCAAAAAAAGAATGTAAAAATTTCAAAAAATGAAGAAAATATTAAAAACAGCATTAATTAAAAAATGCAAACTTAAATTTTAAACTAAATGTTTTAAAAAGCTTATCATCTGAAATTAAACTACATAAAACTAAATGTTTTAAATTGAAACTTTCAATTTAAAGCTTTAAGCCTCAAAGTAGAAAAGCAAATTTGATGAATTTTAGAGGGAAGGTAATCCAAAGTCCAAACAGCATTTTGTAACAATAAAGGAAATAGTCCAATTTCAAAAACAACCCCACCTTTGGTAATATAGGATATTTTCTAAGTGAACTTGTAACAAGGAACATATTGGCAATTAATCATAGAAAGATTACCTATCATTTTTATCAAATCCAAATCTGGCACCAAAATAAAATGCCACAGCAAGTAACCATGCATCACTATGGACTGCAACCAAGGACAACCAGTCCTTTTCTTGCATCCCATCTCTGGCGAAGTTGATGCCCAAAGCAGGCTCAGGGAGTTCTGGGGGCACCTCTTCAGCAGGCAAATTGACTTCCCACTGCTCACTAGGAAATCCATACAGGCAAAGATTCTCCTTCTCTGCAAAGGACATGAAATAGTGAATAAGAAATCCATAGAGCAAAGGAGTTGTGAAAACAGGCAATTACAAATAGAAAATTAACAAAGTTATAGGCAAATCCTAGATTAGAATCACTAATGTACAAAGTTACAAAACATTGAACACAATAAATTTACGAGGATAATATACATGTTTTTGGACAAAGCAGCGAGACCAGCATAGAGAAGCAGTAATGACAAACAAACGAATTAATGAGGAAACTCCATACTTAAATTTTCCAATTCCAACTTATGAGGTTGCATTTTGCAAAACATTGAACACAATAAAATACCACAACCCCTGGAAATTTATATATTTTTATTGCATTTATTTATAAAATTTGGGGAACAGCTGCACAGGGAGGTCTTGTGCTCTAGGAAACTGGTGTTGTGCCCTTCTAGAATATTGGTAGAGGTATTCAGAAGAAATGGGTAACTATCAAGGGAGAGCAGAGGATTGCTGAAATCTTCTTTCTATAATGCTTCTTGTCAACAGAAGGATTGCTGAAATCTTCTGTTGTCTGGTTATCTTGTCAATGGCTTGTCCTTGCCATGTCAGGGTAACATGACCAGCTATTCACGGGTCATTAACAATTGCCACCAGAAATCAAATACATCAATCATGTGAAAACCACATCTAACAGAAATGTCGATATCAGGTCATCAGCCACCAATCACCATATCAGCAGATTGAAGATCAGTTGATGTAGATTAGGATCTGGTTTTTTCTAAAAAGAACTAAAAGTTGAATACAAGGACATACATCTCCTTTTTTATTTTAATAAGCCAATAATTTCCATCTTAATTTGCTTTCTCTTAAAAACTATCATTCAAATGGACAATCATCTCTTTCTGTAATTACATCATGTCTGGACAACAAATAGTAAGAACTATGTTCCTCTATAGCTTTTTTTTTTTTTGATGAATATGTTCCTCTAGAGCTTCCCATGTCATCATAAGAAAAGAATCACCTCATACATTCCTTGCACCATCTGTAAACTAAAATCCAATACCACTTCCAGCATATTGCTCTTCTTCTTTACATGTCTGGCATATGCACTTATATAGTTATATTCTTTTTGAGAAGAGTGATCTCAGGCTTCATGTGCATCAATTGTCAATGCATACCATATGTTGTCTGGCCTTTGCATTTTAAGAAGACAGATCAGCACAACGGAAGAAAAAAGACCTTAAGAGATAAAAACGTGAGAAAAAATAGACCTCAAAAGATATTGTTCAACTTTAACTTATCAGGCTCAAACGACAGTCGATTAGAAATTTTAGTCTACCATTTTCTGTACTCTGAAAAAACTTACCTTCTCTTCCACTCAAATGTAAAACAGAACAGAATCTAAATTTTGTAGGAATAAAAGCCCCTGCTCCATGTTATTGCACACAGGTAGGTTGTTTTTTACCACTCAGATAGGTCTTTTGACCCACCTAGGAAACTCTCCAGACACAAAGATGGCCATCTCACATACTCAGGTCAAAGCATCACCCAGGCCTGATCCAAATTCTGGGCACATGAATGGACAAAACTGAATACCCGTAATTCGTTATTAAACAACCAGAAGAACATGGAAGCAATCAAGCAACTGTGCACTTCTTTATAGAAATCAAAAACATAATAAGAAAAACAGTTATCTATGAGCATTTGGAGGTAATATATCCTAAGCAATCAGTAACAAAAATACTATATTGTTCTAAAACTAAACAAAATTTACAATCATAACCCCAGTCCACCCTAGCACTTAAAGCATTCAATCCAAACGATATATATGAACAAAATACACATAAAGAACACGCTCTTAAAACTTCATAAAGTAAAAAAGAACGAAAAGAAAAATCAAATTAACATCCGCATCGTGAAGCGAGCAAAGATAATCTTCAAGCATAAAAGCAGGAATTGTGTAGAACTTCTGCTTCCCGTAAAATAGTAAAAAAAACGGAACAAACCGAGACCAAGAAACTGCGGTATCCACAAAAAGAGTCCAAATCAGAGAACCTGAGAATAAAACCACATTACGACATCCAAGCATAATGAACAACTCAAAGAAAACTATTCATGCACACATATTATCACAAAAAATAAGTAATAATAATGAGAAATAAATATCCAAGGGAGAAGCGAAGCGTAAACCCTAACCAGGATCACACTGCTGAAAAAATTCATCAACATCTGCAAGAAGAAAAGAAGAAAAACATGAGGATTGAAAAGAAAAACAGCCCAAACACCCCAAATTCAACGTAAAAAAAAAAAAAGATAAACCAAGAAAGGAAAATCAGAATGCCTCGAGAAATGAAATAAAGAAGTACCAGTGGTGAGAGCTTTAATCATGCCAGCTCTTCGGCCCTTGAAATCCCTAAATACCTCCTCGACAGTCCGAGGATTGTACGTTCCACCTCCGTCCATTGCTACAAAGCTTCAAAACCGTTTTTTCCTCTTCTAAGGGAAGTAAAGGAGAGAGAAAAGCCGGAGGCCAGTAGAGATAAGACACAGAAATTACTGGTTTGTGAGGATATCCGTCCAGATTTGAAGGACGCAAAAAATTAAACAAACAGAAACAGGAGAAGAGAGTGAGAGAGTGAGAGAGATGGCGAGAAACTGCAAGAGCTTGGAGAGAGATAGAGAGAGTGTGTGTGTGTGAGAGAGAGAGAGAGGTGTTTGAAAGGAGGGAAGGGCAAAATATTTGACCTCCCAGAGTTTGAGAGAGAGAGATATGAAAAAATAATAATAAAGTTGGCGGAATTGAATCACCTAGAAATGAGAGGATTAAGTGGATTTGAGACAACGGTAACAAGTCCGCGAAAATGGATTGTGATAAATGGAGGAAAAGGCTAACGTGAGCCGATGAGTGTCTGGTCTAATACAGGAGAGGAGAATCAAATGTTTTGTTGTTGGGACTCTCGGACTCTTTGGATCTTGGACAGGGTTACAGCCTACAGGGGTTTCCACTTTCCACTATCCAGTTTCGTTCGAGTTCAAATCAGCCCCCACAACGTCCCACAGTTCAAATCATCGGGAGATGCTCTCAACACACGGCGGAGATGTGTTGTGGGATATTGTGGGGGGCTGATTTAGTCCACGCTCGGGCTTGGCTCATCACAGATCTCACCACACCACACCAGGCCCCAGGTATAAAGTTCTTTCCATTTTCCAGATGACTGAACCGGATCCCACGGTTGAGATCGAGAGTGATATCATCTGATTCTGTATATGTCGTCCACGTAATAGAGATTGCTGATTGCATCACATTCCAATTGGACCGGGTTGGTTGGGATCTGCTAAACTTTTATTTCTCCTGCACTAACTAAAGACAATCAGTGTATGATACGTTTGGTTTTGTAGGTATTTATACGAAAAACACCTTCACATTAGTGATATATATTAGCATGTGTTTGGAACCGTGGATAATTATTGATTAAACGTTTTATATTTTATTTATTTGAAAAATCTAGAAAAGCAATGATGAATCCATTTATCGATACTTAGGTGTTATTAGGCTTCACATCAATAAATCATTAAATAAACACCTACCCATTGAGTGAAACACTAAAATGAAACTTCTATTAATGGCAAGCACGTACATAAATCGACGTCTATTTTTACAAATCCCCATGTGTACGAATTTACATAATGGAATAAATGTTGAAGTGATGTCTATGTAACAATGTTTATTTAATAAATATCCACAATTCCAAACACCCTCTTAGGTATTAATATCTATTGTGCATGAAACCACTATTTGGTTTTAATGTTTATAAAAACAGATATTAAAAAACAAAAAATGTTTGAATTTATGTGCATGAACTGATGGAAGAAACTTCAAATTCTGGTTTCCCTCAAAGGCCCAAAGTTGATTGAAATGCAATGCTAACCTGGTGCATATAGTTTTCTGAACTTAAGAATTAAATAATGCAACTCATCAACATCTATAGTAGTGGCTGCCTCTCCTTCTCAGTCTCTAAAAACCTTAAAGAAACAAAAACAAATATCGAGGATATGTAGTTAGATCTCTATGCATAACAATTTTTATTTTTCTTCATTGGCTGAAGAAATTTCTCCATTTTTTAAAATTATATTGAGGGGGTGTTCTACTTGTGCTCAATTTGCTTTTGAAAATGTCACATTAGCCAAAGACAAAAAACAAATGCATGTGTCTTCAACTGACTTTTCATTGGGGGTGTGAAATCGGTCGGGTCAGGTCGATTCAACCCGATGGCCTAGCTGGTTATTCGGTTTTACCGTTTCCTTTGACCAAACCGAATTGAAGTATTTTAAAACCGAACTGACCCTAACCAAATTTGGTTTGGTTGGGCCCTGGTTCCATATAAATGATAAGCATTTAATAAGTGTTATTAATGGAAAGTTAAAATGGCCCTAAAAGCCAATTGTTTTAATTAATTAATTATTAACTATTATTAATTAAAAGTTAAAATGACCCCAAAGCCTAATGATTTTAATTAATTAGCTATTATTATTTAAAAGTTAAAATAGGCCCAAAGCCCTATGCCAATGGGGAATTGACAAATTAGTCATTTTCAAAAGTAATTAATGATTAATGAGTAATAAACAATTAATAAAGAGGCTAGGTTTTAATTAACTATTATTAATTATTCATTGAAAAATATAATAATTAATTAGTATAAAGTATTAAATAAGATATTAATATTTAATATACTTAATTAAATAACAACATAAATTCGATTGAAAATTTTAGTCAAACCGAACTGAAACTGAAAACCATTTTTTTTAATAAAAAGCAAATTGAACCAATAGCCGAATTAACCGAACCGAAATAACTTATTCGGGCCATCTCAAGGCCCCTAAGGTTCCATCTCAGGGCCTATGACATTTGTCTGTGATTGCAAATGTGACACTTCAGCTGAGGCCCTCAGGCCAACTTTCTAGTTCTACCCAAGATTGGTATCAATAGTTTTGAAAATCAAAAAACAAGTTGGTTATTTTTCAAAAAAACTAGGAATGCAACTTGGGTCGGCACGAGTTAACATTTTACATTGCTTTGGGATAGGACTATCTAAATTTTGACAAAAGCCCCACCAAGCCTACCCAAGTTGCATCCATACAAAAAAAAAAAAAAAACTGTCAAAATGATTGGTTTTAATACAAAAAAAAGAACTTCTTTTATAGTAAAGGAATTATATAATTTATGAAACAAGATATATTAAGGTGTCCAACAACTTGTTTGGTTTTGTTTTTGAAAATAAAAATAAATTTTCTGATGTGATAATTGTATGGTAATTGTTTTTGTTTTGTTTTCGAAAATAAAACCAACTATGATGTCAAACACCCCTAAATAATCTAAATAGTCTGATGGAAATATGCTCTTTAAATTAGAAATTCAAAAACATGTTTTTAATTTCGATTTAAAAACATTTCACATAACTAATAAACCCATATAACCCCCTAACCCAGACGCAGACAGGATTTGATCCCAGGCCTGATCGTAGCAAGAGACCTTAACCAAGCAGCTGGTTGGCACCTTACATTTTATCATCCTAGTCCTAGTCTCATCCGTCATCGCCCAAATAATATTTGTGACCATAAGTCAAGGCAATGCATTGAAATTGGGTGATCTAGATTAGAGATCACTTGAATTGTATCGGGTTAGCTGGAAACTTAGAAAATTAGCCCCAGCTAGACTGAGCTTCCTCTTTGGTATTTGAATCAATAGATCTAATAATCCAAAGTGTATAAACTTTGGTCCATCAAGCGGAAAGAAACAATTGTTACATCATCAAAACAACATTTTCTTTTCTGCCAAACCTGAAGGAAGATCGATTAGCTGAATGCATTGATTTTTTAATGGGCAATATAACCAATAATAACACTCCACACTAGTATAAATTTTCTTTGCCAAACCCTAGTAACGCTTAAAGTTCACGATGGGTTTAAAAGTTAAAACTTTAATTTGTAGTTTTAAAAAGCGCTGAGGCGCATGCCTTTAGGCCAAGTGGAGCAAAAAGGCCTTAACTCAACCACCTTATGTGTGAAGCAAAGGGGTTATGTCTCAAATTTTATGAGGTGTACTCACCACATGATGCCTTGAATTGAACAATCCTGTAGAGATTTGCTACCAACGAAATGCTCCTAACACTGTCCCAATAAGCCACTGTAACTGTATATTGGGAACATTTTTTTTTTGTCATTCATGGGGAGATACTCTTGATATACCACTGCAATGGTTTAAACAATATTAAAATTGAAAAAAAAAAGGAATGTGTTAACATACAATGCCTCTGAAAATTGAAATATGGTTGTCCAATTTGATCACAAATTTACAGAAAAAATATGATCACAAAATAAAAGGAATAAAATAATCTAAACACTCATAATATCTCTCTCTACCCAAAAATATTTCTTTATTTTTTCTCTTACTAAATATAATAATTCCAATGTGCTACCCCACATCATAGTAGCATTTCCATTCAAATATTTAGGGCCCACAAATAGTTATGATTTTTCTTCAAAACAAAAATTTTCAATACAATAAAACTTTAACAGAAATTGTCAAACTAGATCCGTTTTATCCACTCTCATTTACAAGTCATTTGGTTATAAAGATAAGTTAACCATGAAACAAAGAAATTATATAAAAAAAAATGTAGGGGAATTTATGTGTCAGGCCCCTTCATAAATGTTTATGGCCGGAAGGGGTATACGATCAGCCCCCCACAACATCCCACAGTACATCCTTGCCGTGTATTGGGAATATTTCCCAATAATGACATCATCATTTCTAGTATTATCATCGGGAGATGTTTCTAATACATGGCCAGAATGTTCTGTGCGACTTTGTGGGGGGGCTGATTTGATCTCATTTGAATTATCCCCTTTCCATGAATGAGCCGATTAAAACTCAAAACACTCCACTAGCCCACCTACAGCAATGCCACATCATCCCCACATTCAGAAATCCTTAAAATGCCCTTCGAGAAATCCCTAAAATGTCCAATTCACATGTGACTACTAATTTCCCTGTTCACTCCCATCTTCATTTTCACCTTCCAACAGTCTGAAATCTATAGCGCCTTCGTCAGAAAATCTACAATTCTTCGATCCTCTTCATTGGCGCACACCAATGGAAGGGGAGATATCTCCCTCTTCCCCCATTCATTTCCATCTTCGTTTTCACCTCCAACTAGCTTGAAATCTAGTACCTTCGATCTTCTTTACCAGCACACATCGACAAAAAACGACAATATCTCCCTTCCTTTGTTGTGCCTTCGTTGTCGGACCCCATTCCAACAACGAGCATAGAAGCGTGGATTTTTGGCGTGGACTATACTAGTGTGTGCATCTGGTAATGAATGAACTGGATTGGTTGTTCAAAAAAGTGGTGTTAGCCCAATGTATATTGTTCATCTCCTTGAATGTCTATAACAGTTTCAATGAATAATTTAGCCCAATGCATAGGTAACAATGTCTATAGCAGTTTCAGCGAATAATTTAGTTGGCTCAAATGGTAGGATCTAAGCTAGAATGATGGTCCTTAGGACCAATGAGTCAGCATTTTTCTAACATTTTTTTATCCTCCAATTTGAGGTCTATATAGTTGCATAAAGAATGGTAGGAAACACAATGGATCAAAGAAAAAAATAGGGTAAATTTCTTAAACTACCCTTATGGTTTAGCTAATTGACTATGTGTATCCTTACTGTTTTTGCCAATTGATTAACTCTCTTCTTATCGTTAACCTCCATCAAAAACAATGCAAAATGCCTAAATTATCCTTCGGAGTTCAGATGTTGTTGCTGCTAGGTGGAGTTACAGAGCAGTGGGTGGAGTTATAGGGCAGTGTTGCTGCCATCACCCAAGAAGAAGATAAAGAGATCAGACTTCAGTTGTTGTGTCGTCGCCCACAGGAAGAATGAAAAGGATGAAATGTCCGCCTTTAAGTTAAAAGAAAAACTCTTTCCCTAATCTCTTCTCCCCTCTTTTGAATGTTAAATATTGAACTGGCCGGAATTTGCATAGATGAGTTTGAGTCTGAGATCTAGAGTGGCATGAGTCTTTGCAATGTGTAGATCGGCCAAATAAGTTTTGAGTCCGAGATTTCCAGCGATGTACAACATGAGTTGGATCTCTAGAGCAAAGGTTGAGATCTGGACTGTATCTGTTGCGATGTGCAGCATGAGTCTAAGTTTGAGATCTGTTGTATCAGATTCATGCCACTCTAAAGGTCTGAGATCTCTGGTCAGATACAGACCAACTAAGTTGGTAGTGGCATTGTTTTTGAGTTGAAGAGGATTGAAGTTTTAGAGTAGGAAAAGTTTGGGTTGCTGCATGATAAGGGGGAGAATGATGAGAAAATCAAGCTTCTTACAAAGGAGATCGAATGATTCAAGAAGAATCACGGGTTCTACTTCCAAGGATGCATCAATGGACGAAAATGTGTTCAGGGTGTTACATGGACAACAAGTTCTACGTGATCATAGAGCAAAACGAAAGAGGAGTTGATCTCACCTACGGTGAGTTCTATGATGCAAATAGGAACGCATGGGAGCTAGTTCTAGACATGTTGAAGGATGCCCCTGTTTCGACATTGCGATCCCCACCCCTTGTTACTGTTGTGAACAACGAACTCTACTCACTCAAAGCTTCATGAAACCAACTGAAGCTGTACTTGAAGAAGAGCAACTCATGGAAGGATTTGGGGATGGTTCATGCGAGAGCCGATCAAAACAGGGCACTTTGAGCATTAAATTTTTAGTTAATCAAAATACTGGTATAAAGAAGATTGTAAAATCAGAGTGCAATCAGAACCCTGTAAACCTTATGGTTTAGCTTTGGCTTACCCTGCATTCGCTTCAGGTGCTAAATCCAAACCACTGTTAGTTCATTTTGAGTTTTAGAACAGAGAAGAAATTGGGTTTTAAAAAATATATATATCACGTGTGAATGAGTTTTGACGGAATATTAACAGAATTTAACGGTAAGGATAGAGTTAGTCAATTGTTAGAAATAGTAGGGGTAGCGTTAGTCAATTTTCTCAAACGGTAAGATTACACTTAGTCAATTAGCTAAACCATAACTTGCCTTCACATTTAAATTGCCATCTAATGGAGGGAAAATTTTAATATTATTCAAGGATTGAAGACCACATTTGTTCTCTTTAATCGAGGTGTCTAATAATCATTAGCACTAGAAGAAGATTAATCAGCAAGTAACAATTAAAAAAAAAACGGGAATCCAGACCATAATCATTTCCATTCTTACCATATTGAAGTCAACACTAAACAGGCTTAAACTATTGCTATATAGTTTGATTTTCAAAACTATGACATGGAGTAAGATAAAATTGCTACCTAGTCTAGAAAACAAAATGTGCAAGCCAAAAGAACCAACATTATATGTCTGAAACATTAAAACGTCACATAGAAGGACAACTTTCAGATTCAAAAGCAAGAAGGAGAAGAATTGTTATATGTAATAATCTCATTCATGGCTTTACACATTGAGGCATCATGTATGATATCTACCATTAGCAATTGTTCTGTACTACGTCTCTTATGCTCCATAACTCGACAATGGTTACAACATAGGATATAGCAATTTCAGACATGCGGGTGAGAGAAAAAATGTCTAGTTTAAAAAAAAATGAGTATGATAATATGAATTTAAGCCAAGTTGTACTTTGAAGTTCATGGTAGCCATTTCCACTAAATTTTTTGGAATTTCAATGTGCCTTATACATAATATGTATTTGTCTAATAGTAATAGCCATCTTTATAATTGAATTTATATTTTTTTTATTTCAAGCTATAATAGATGATAATGCATGGTTTTTATAACTGAATTTAAATTATTTTACTCCAATCTATGATAGATGATAATATAGGAAATGTGTTCACATGTCGTGTAGTGGTGTTGGAATTTATTTGTACTTGGCATGGGAGTATTTGTTATGTATTCGTTAGAGTAGTTCGGTGAGTATGGATAATGGTTCTGCTTATTTTGTATATTCTTGTTTATAGTATCTAATGCGTAGTTGGCTGAATAATATGTGGGTATTTTGTGATATGTTCATGGTGTGCAAATGTTATGCGGCTTGAGTTAAATAGTGAAAAGTGATTCTAGCATTTTAAGTCTTTGGTGCAAGTATGTGATCTGCATGATATTGGTCCAAAGTGGTCTGTATGCATTGAAATGTTTTTAATAGTATGTGAACTATAGTTAATGAACATATTGTTTGCGTTACAACCATGAGTTGACAGTCAACAAGAGGTTGTTCCCCTACAACCAATTGAAGTACGAGGTGAAATATTGCAAGTGCTAGAAGAAATGTATTATTCATATGTTCAAAACACTGTGGAATCCTAATAAGATCTTTTACACTTGCCCTGACAATCTTGATATAACTAATATTGCCACTCAATTAAGTTTATTGTTTAGATATTTAAAGCTTCAGTATTCGTATTGACTTTTTCTCTTTGAATGTGAACAAGGAAATTCGCTAAATCTGAGGCAATTGAACGCAAGTCAGATAGAAGCACACACGGATGGTGGTTACAACTACTTTTGTTGGGCAATTTCCATTGGCTCCTTAGATGAATTTATTTATGCGGTGAACATCAGTGGTAATATTGGTGGACGTGTTCTTGAGTTGGAGAGAGTGGTGTTTGAGTGCTACAGACAGATGGGATCCATGGTGTTATCTCAAAACCTATTGTTGGAAGGGTTGAAAACAATTAGGTTTTTAGTCATTTTTCTATGTCGTTGTATTTCTATATTCTTATATATTTAAGAACCAATAGTGAATAATCATGTTTTTAGAAGTAAAGGGCTGTAAGTTTGTAATATAGGGTTTTGGATAAAAAGTAACGAAACTCAAATGCATCTATGATTTATGCAAAACCAATTATTTGTATAGTTTTTTCTGCATTTTTTTATTGAACTTATATTTTGAACATGTAGTAAGCTCTTGACAGAAATATCGGTAATGTTTTTTTTTTTTTTTTGGGAAACAAATATATGGGTAATAATCTATTCTCCAGAATTCAATGTTGGGGGATTTAGTGGGTTCAACTTGACGGCTATTTGGTGGTGGGTTAACAAGTTTAGTTGAACCTAAAAGCAAAGTGTTATGCAAAGATCCTATAGTTGTAACATTTTAGTGGGTGGTGGGTAACCGTTGGACACCCATTTTGCTTCATACCTACCTTTAGAGGTGTTTTTATTGACGACCTCACCTTTTTGGGTGCCTCTAATTTATATCTTCCGTTTAGCACTCCTTAAGTAAGAGAAGATGGTGAATTGATGCCACACTTAAAAGTAGAAGTCAACTTTACGTAAGAAGATGAGATTGTAGAAATGTCAATTTTGTGGGGTTGAGCCATATACTATATGGCCTTCTACGCGGGATAGTGGAGGAGGGTGCCCGTTAGGTCAGTTATATGGATAACTGGTGAACATTGATCCTACCCCCAGAACATATTATCATGTTATCTGTGTTTGTTGCTGTCCTTGATCCTATGGATGAGAACAAGGTGAATCAATGCCGTTGTTTTTGAGTGAGTGGACCACAAAGTACCTCCAATCATGCCCGTGCGATGGAGGAGAAGCTAAATCAATACCGTTGGGTGTAGCAGAACCCAGGTTTAATAAAACCGTAGCGATGGAATTAGAAATTTTATACACCCATTTGTGGCGACCCCCACTTTCGCCTCACCCCCTTAGTGAGTAGTTGGCAATGCATGACTTAGTCCATCCCAGAGGTAGAAACCCAAGTCAACTCAAGCTAGGACAACGGCCGACGACGGTCGCTGAATCACATTCCTGATTAGTATTTTACATACATCCAACTTCCACTTGATCCTTCTCTGGCATAGATTTACCTCCTCTATTTTCAATAGGCAAGCAAGAGTGGGAAGTATGATGGTAAATAAGATTTACGTCAACCGATTGCCACAATCGCGTGGTGAAGATAACAAAGACAGTGGCAGACGACAATCACAAAACTAGATTCCCGATTAGAATTTTGCATACATATAACTTCCACCTAATCCTCTCCCCATGCATTGATTCACCACCATTGCTTTTGATAGAAAAGTGGGATGACAAGTACGTTCTGTGTTACCCCCCGGACCCCCGGTTACTGCAATCCTGCAGCGATGCAAGTAAGTCTTAGTTGACCCAACCTTTAATTCTTTTTAGTGATTTAATATCAATGCGAATGGTCAACAAACTGACAAAATAAAAGCCTTGCTTTATCGTACTTTGTGGAAAAGACTTTCAAACACAACTCCATCTTTTATTTTATTGTTGAGCTTGGTGGAAAGACTGAAACTTATTTGAGAACTAAACTCAAAATTTTTTGCCTATACAAACAAATTTTGATTTTCCAAATTGAAGTCTAACGGATATATCCGAAAATTACCTTTTCTTATCAATAAGAAATATTGCATTAATTTAAGAGTAATCAATCAAGGAGGTGTGGGATCGAACCAATAGAGATAACAGGCTTTCTTGGTATGGCCATGATCAGTTAACTTCACGTGCACCCAAGTTCCCTGTACTATGTAGCATGTAATACCATAGATAAAATGTAAGAGTAATCAGACATACAATGCAAGAAGATGGACTCTTAGAGTTCACACAAACTCCCTTTCATGACAACCCTGCAAATGCATACTCAATGCATCAAAGAGGCTACTAACATCTGCACTTAAGAATGAAACCGTGTAAATACATTTTCCACACCTGAAATGAAAAGAAAAACTATAGAGAACAGAAGTCTTCACTTATTTTTGCAGTAGAGACAGTAGAAATTCTCAGTGGTGGATTCAGGACCTTTGATCGACACACTTGTGACTTCACCTCTTAAGCCCTTTTAAAACCATGAATCTTGTTTTGCAATTCAGTTCTGTTTAGTGTCATATTCATTGTTACATTATGAGCCCTAAATCATTTCTTACTACTTTGGTCCATGTGGCCATGTCCTTTTGGTTTGCCTTTAGCACTTTAGCTTTGCAAAAAGTACAAAACTAAAACAAAAATAAATTAAAAAACTTTATCTTTATAGTAAAGTTCTAAACAATAACAACAATCAATAGAAAGGCTATTTGATGCCTAAAAAGCTACTTTAGTAGTATATGGTGAGGTTGAATTTAAAAAGAACCTAGTGGGCACAAGTTTCCTTTGGAGAAAATTTTTTGTAAAGATTGTATACCACGTTCCCTAATTGTAAGTGAAAATTAGTGCCCGTATCAGTATTTTGTTAGTGTACTTTGTAAATGGGTTGATGTAAACATGCATTCAAAAGTGAGAAATGTGAAACTGGTCTCTATATTTATGTACATTTAGGAGCTATATACTAAAATTAACAGATCACTGGTAGGGCTGTTCATAACAAGACCCAAACCGACCAACCCGAGTTGGTCGGTTTTTCTTCAGTATCGGTAGGTTTCGGGTTACATATATATGAAAACCGAAACCGAACCGACTTACATATATATATATATATATATATATATATATATATATCTGATATATTTCAGTTTCCATATATATTTCAGATATATATTTGTGGAAATATATATATTTCAGCTTTATTTCAGAAATATACATATTATATATAAAATATTAGTTTTAATCCATCAAATCATTTTTAATTTACAGGCATCCAGCCTTTGCTTTGTTAGACTTGAATCCTTTACCGTTCACACCGAGAGAATCATTCACAAAACCAACCCAAACCGATTCAAACCGACCGGGTCGGTTTCGGTTTCATTTCTAAGTAAACCGACCAGATTGGGTCGGTTGGAAAAACGCCAGTAAACCGACCCAACCCGACCCGTGAACAGCCCTAATCACTGGATTCATTTTTATTGAGATCAACCCAACCCGTGAACAGCCCTAATCACTGGATTCATTTTTATTGAGATCAAAGGCTCATCCCCCCCCCTACCGTAGGAAAAAAAGCAAGAAAGAAACAGATTTGTTACTCAAACAAGAAGAAATCAACAACTATATGCTTCATAAACCTGTGAATATCATACAGTGGCCAATAGAGAAAGAGGGGAGAGAGGGCAAAAAAGAACGATGGAGAAATACCTTGTTGTTAGTTTCACCCATTTGCCGGGATGACAATGTCTTTAGTTGCATTCATTAATGATTTAATGTTCATATAGACAAATGACGAAGTATTTCCTGCAGTCAAAACAAAATTTTGAGGTCAGCCAAATGATCTCTCCAAGAAAATCATTAAGAAGAAATACAACATTGTCCTCTTCCACTTTTAGCAAAGACAGCCTAAAGGCTGACCACCTCTATGATTTTTAACCATCTGTATAGCTGTCAAATATTTGATGGATAACAGTAAATTCCACTTTTCCCTTGAACACATACAGAAAACTGATGATTGTAAGTTTGTAACAAATGTACCACACTACATGATCCTGTTCCCTTTTGGTCCACTTCACATTATAGAAATACTCAAAATTCATTTAAGAAAAAAGCCATTACCCAATGCTGGTCTCGGTTATCCAAGGTCCTGTGAAGGTTGGACAGGATATGTGCCTAACCTTCAGCATTTCAACACAAAGCAGCTGTTTTTAGATTTGAACTAGCTTTCATAAGCTTGCAATTCATTTCTCAAAATAAAAGAAATTATTGAAATATGATGTTTTGTACGGCTGGTCAAAATGTCTCTTTTCTCTCAAGTACGTAAATACAAATTTACACCTGCTAATGAGAAGGTCTACACTCTGTCTAGACCACCAGTTTCAGTTTTACAAGAGCAAGCAGCAGCTCTTTGTCATGAACATCATCAGAAGATGGTTTAGCATTGCAGTCATTGCTGCTCAAGCCACAGGCAATATTGGATGGTGAATTGAATTGCTGACTTGCAGTTACAGGGCAAGGAACTCTTTTCATACAATGCTTCCATGATATGCCTAAGATAGACAACAGCATCTAGTGTTTTCCATGAGAGAATATCATATGAAAGTCATAATCTTCCATTACTTAAGACTCCTTTTGGACAAAATGATTGGCATTCAAGACTAAAAAGAATAAAAACTGTCGAGCAGAATTGATCCAGAGAGAAATAATGATTTCAGAAAAGGGAAGAAATCAATATATCTATCTGCACTCCTCTATTGCTAAGAGAAATGATGATTTCAGAAACATATTGAAGCTACAGGAGATTAAAAGGCAGATGGACCAATTATTAAAATCCTAAACTGCAAGGCAAAATAATAACTGATAAAACTAAAAGCTGGGAATCCATGGTGAGACATGCTACCCTGCTACGTACTGATAACAACATCGCTTCCAACTTCAAACAGATTAACTAGTGAACAGGGAAAGAGCAAAGATCAGTTAAAAGCACCAATACTAGCTCTACTCTGCCTGGCGTGCTTTGTCCATTCAGTATGGAATGATCCTGGACGATCAATGCGCTCGTAAGTATGGGCCCCAAACAAGTCCCTCTGTGCCTGGACAAGGTTTGCAGGAAGCCTTGCCCGCCTGTACGTGTCAAAGTAAGAAAGACTGGCAGACATTCCTGGAGTGCTAATCCCCGCCGCTATTGCCAAACCAACTACCCTCCTCCAAGCTGCCTGCCTCTGCACTATCTCTCTTGCAAACTCAGGATCAACAAGTAAACTTGCCAATTGAGGATTCCGCTGGTATGCTTTCTTAATACGGTCCAAGAACACAGCTCTTATAATGCAACCGCCTTTCCAGATCCTCGCCAATTCGCCCAAAGTAAGATTCCAACCCTTCTCCACACTCTTTGCCCTCAACAAATTCATCCCTTGAGCATAGCTACAAATCTTCGAAGCGTACAATGCCTGCCTCACATCATCAATCAACCTCTTCTTATCGATGCCACTCCTTACTGCTCCAACATCCTCCCGCATGCCAGCCTCTCTCAAAACATCCGACGCAGCTTCCCTCTCTTCCTTCAACCCACTCAAGTATCTGCAATCCAACGAGGCAGCAATTGTGGGCGCAGCAACCATCAACTCTGCTGCCTGTTGAACCGTCCATTTCCCGGTTCCCTTCATCCCCGTTTTATCTAAGATCTTATCCACCAACTCACCTTCGCCATATTCGTCCTTAACCCTGAAAATATCAGCTGTTATCTCAATCAAGAAGCTCTCCAGCTCTCCCCTGTTCCAGTGGGCGAAGATATCTGCCAATTCGGCATTCGACAACCCACCGACAGTCTTCAAGACATCGTAGGCTTCTGATATCAGCTGCATATCACCATACTCGATGCCATTATGAACCATCTTGACGAAATTCCCAGACCCTCCTTCACCTATGTACGTCACACAAGGCCCATCTTCGACCTGTGCGGCGACCTTCTTAACTATGTCCTCGATATTCAAGTAGGCCTGGTACGACCCCCCGGGCATGAGCGAAGGCCCATGACGGGCACCCTCTTCTCCACCTGAAACGCCCATACCCAGATAGAGAATACCGCGATCTGCCACTTCGCGCATTCGGCGCTCTGTGTTCTCGTACCATTCATTGCCACCGTCGATGATGCAGTCGCCGGCCTCCATGAATTCAGAGAGAGCGGCGATGGTCTGATCGACGGGGGATCCGGCCTTGACAAGTATGATGACGGATCTAGGGCGTTGAAGAGAGAGGACAAAATCACGAGGTGAATAGTGACCGGTGAGTGGGAGGTTGCCTTCTTGCTGAGCTCTCTCCAGTGTCTCGTCGACTTTGGTGGTGGTTCGGTTGTAAACAGAAATGGGGAAGCCTTTCTCGGCAATGTTGAGGGCGAGGTTTTGGCCCATGACGGCTAGGCCAGCGAGGCCAATGCGTGAGAGAGTCATTGAAGCTTCCATGCTTGACGGACTAAACGAGAATTAGGGTTAGGGTTTAGAAGAAAGGAGTATGAGCAGGAAGGTGGGCAGTGGTGGTGGAGGGTTGGAAGGTTTTGTTCTTTTCCAAATAAAAATGTATAGGCGGCGTCGTCGCTACTCGCTACTCGCTACTCGGAGATTCGGATATTTGATTATTTTCTTTTCTCTCTTTTTTGTTTTATTATGGTTTCAGGAATACACGAATTTGGTGGTGGTTCTATCATCTATGAAAGTTGGCGATGAAATGAAAGTGGCAGATTGGTCCCAATCGTTAGATACCCTAATTAGAATAATCTATGGCGATGGTAGAGATTATCAGCAACGTGTGGCGTAAATGGCTGGGAGCATGAAACTTTGTGTATCTACGGTGTAGCGAAAATGAATAAGCAAAAAAGCAATTGGCAAAACTTTCGGGAATTTGGCAGACGGAAAATTACCGATGGACCGCATCACCGCCCCACACGACGTGCGACTGACACCTGTCCAGTCGCACGCGGTGGGGCGTTCCCGCGTGCGACGCTAACGTGACGGACGTTAGCCCCAAAATCAACTCAAAAGTGCTGGAACGCGCCCCCTGAAGCTCTTTTCCCATATTCGCGCCCCTCCTGAAGCTCAATTCAGAGGAGAGGCTCTGACCCCCGTTCTCTGCCCGAGCTCGGATCTCCGCTCCCATCTCCGGCACCGGCGAACGCTCCGGTCACCAGGTAAGCTCTAACCCTTGTTTTTTGTCTGGGGCTTTGATTTTTTCATTAAACCCTTTTTTATGTTTTATTTTTCTTTGACTTTTTTACCCTCTTCCACCTCCTCCGGCACCGGCGATCGCTCCGGCCACCGTCACCAGGTGTTGGACTGTTTTTCATTTCAAGAAACCAATGTGAAGAAAAAACTAAGGAGTGATGCGCTAGCATGTTAAGTAGTTTATCAGTCAGGTGATCCATCAATCATTTTTTAAGAATTGGGTTCATGTTCAGACTTGGGTTCACACTTGGGTTCATGTTCAGACAGTGAATGTAGGGTATTTTTAATCCATTAATCATTCTTTATGCTCAGATGATGGAAACACTCAAAACACAGATGTTCAATCTATACTGATTTATATTTGCATATAATGTATAACAGAAAAGAAAAACCTTTGTTCAGGACATGTGGTTGAAAGGATAAGAACCTTAGTTCTTGCTCATGATGAGTTTGCAACTTGATGGTGCTCCTGACTTTGTGTGTTCTTAAATCTGTGGTGCTTGTAGGTTCATTTTCTAAACAATTCCATCTGTTAAGGGACCCTCTTGATTGACCATGTCTTACTTCCCCGAAATATGTGAGCCATACATTTTAGCTGGGTGTATTAGATGTTCTCAAAGTTTGAATTTATTATTTAAAAGAATGTCACAAGAAAGGGCTTATTCAGGACATGTGGCAGGTGTCCTTATGGTTAAAAGAATGTCACACTTAGAATTGCATTCAACTTTTTTATTATGCAATGGCTATTAAAAACTCACTTATAAAGTTGTTTGGTTTACAGGTTTTGGCTATGGTTATGAACTCCATCCACCTTAGGAAAAAACTACAGAAGGAGAAAGTAGTGCAGTGATTGGCTATGGCTACACAAAGCTGAATTTTCTAACTTTATTATTAATTTGTATGCTTTGGTACAGATACAGAAAGCTGAATTTTCAAACACTTTATTATTAATTTGTATGCTTTGGTACAAATGTTGTTTGGCTATGGCTATGAACTCTCTCTCTCTCTCTCTCTCTCCTCTTTAGCTTTCAAGGGTATATTAATATATTAAACACAGGTTTATGGTATTGTCCAACTAACTAGCCTAAAGCAGGGCATTACAACTATCTTCCTGTCTTAGTTAAACAGAGGCTGGTCCCCTGAAGAAGGATCAATAATAGCTAGTCTTTGATGAGCCAAAAAGCAGTCTCCATGCTGGTACAGTCCACTCCAATCAGGCCCCCCATGATCCCATCTACATGATAAATACGACTGCTTTGAAGTAGTTTAAAGAATCCAACAGAACTACGGTTACTGTCACAAAGCAAGCAGAATCCTCAACTTAATCTAATACATGGTAACAGTAGTGTCACATGGATTGGAGACCCAGAACAAATCATGGGTTTCATAAGATCTAAAGTAACATGATGGTGATTAAACAAAAAACCATATTAATCTAAACCCATGTCAGAATCTTTTTCTTCTTTTTTCCTTTTGAGAAATCCGACTCTGCTTCTTGATAGAGCAAGTATACGTATATGTTGACAGAGATATATTGAACCTTCTCTTCATGGTGTTCATTCAATAAGGTATCATCAATCTCAGCATCGCACGACTATTTTGCAGATTAAAATAACATATTACGAAGCTTTATAAACTATTGTTTAAAAAGATGTAACTAGAGAGAGAGATTCTTGTTTATTTGTTGTAGAAGTGTTGCTTTGACTTATCTCTTGGTCCATTAGAGTAATTGTTGGTTGAAAAAATGTCTCAACAACTGTTTAGTTTGAGAGAGATTTGTGGGTAGTTCCTATCCATTGGAACAAACTCAACAGTCATAAAAGGGTCTATAAATAGAATCCAAAATATTGAGTGCCCTTGAACTACCGAGAACATCAAGAGTTTCTGGATTTTCACATTGTATCATCACAACCTTCAAATATCATGAATAAAAAAAAAACTGGCATAAAAAACTGGTATTTGTTACTTATATCATACTTTCTTCTTATATGAAATATTCTTGGATAAGTATTTCTCCCATTGGCGTTTTCATTAACGTGGTTCTTTGATCTGCTTTTGGTTGCTAAGAAAATGAGATATTCTTTTCGGATAGCATGGGGTCAGTTTTGTTTCCTATCACTCTATTGTTTTGGGTCTGTCTTCTCTACCTTAATGAAGAGAGAAAAATAGAGGTCAAAGAGGAAATCTATTTACCTGTTTCGACTTATTGTCTTTTCTCTTATAGTTTCCAAAGTTGTGTGCGCACAAAGACACAGTAAAGACATGCAGGGGCATCACTCCTTAGTTTTTTCTTCATAGAGTATTGGTTTCTTGAAATGAAAAACACTCCAACACCTGGTGACAGTGGCCGGAGCGATCGCCGGTGCAGGAGAAAGAGGGTAAAAAAAGTCGAAGAAAAACAAAACATCAAAGAGGGTTTAATGAAAAATATCAAAGCCCCAGACAAAGAACAAGGGTTAGAGCTTACCTGGTAACCGAAGAGTTCGCCGGTACCGGAAATGGGAGCGGAGATCCGAGATCGGGCAGAGAACGGGGGTCAGAGCCTCTCCTCCGATTTGAGCTTCAGAGGGGCGCGAATATGGGAAATGAGCTTCAGGGGGCGCGCTCCAGCACCTTTGAATTGGTTTTGGGGCTAACGGACAGGGCTACGTCCATCACGTTAACGTCACACGCGAGAATGCCCCACCGCGTGCGACTGGACAGGTGTCAATCGCACGTCGTGTGGGGCGTTTGTGGGGCGAAGTGCGGTGGATGGCCCATTAGCTGTTTGGTTGGACAGAGTAGGATTTGGTTCCCATTCCTGCTATTATAGCATTTTCCGGTTTGAGAGAATGGCCCTTACCTTGGGATGAGAATTTAAGAAAAAAAAAAGGACGAGTGACTTAAAACCCCAACATGGGTTTGAGATATATACAACAGAAGTGAAAAAACAAACAAACAAGTCTTGAAAACTGGTGGATTGTTCTCCAAATATGTTTATCCAGCATTTTAGATTGTTTGGACAATATCACTAGTATAAGGGATTGGATTTGACAAATAACACACGAGTCAAGATCTCCTCATCCCCACGTATGAAATGTTGTGACACGGATCATGTCCAAAACATATTGGAAAGTGATGAAGGAAGATTTGGTCCGATCTTGTAAATCACGGCACGTGGCAAAAAAGGCAAGCAGTTCGGAACTCAAGACCATACCGAGGGTACAAACGCCAAAGGGACCAAGAGGCCCGAGCTCCCTACTTAGAGCTCGGACTCCCTAGCAAGAGGCTCGAGCTCCCTACCTAGAGTTTGAACTCCCAAGCAAGAGGCATGAACTCCCTACTTAGTGATCGGACTCCCTGCGAGGAGCTCGAACTCTCCCTTTTGACTCCGTCACACGAAGCGGAGACCCGAACGGGCCCATCTTATGACAATTTGGGGCCTCCCCTTCTCCAAACTCGAGACTTTGCCTTACGCATCACTCCAGGCACGTCGCTTCCGGAGCGTTGAACTGGACGAACCACGCCGTACCTGACACCGAAGGAGTCCGTATCCAAGGGCGGCGCACTGACTGATTTGGGATCTGACGCTTGACGGCCGCATTTCCAACGGCCACCTGCCACCATCACCTGTCACCACTGCCTTCAGTTACAGAGACGGCTCCAACAAAAGGAGCAGCGACGGTCCTGCTTCAGCAAAGGCGATGGCGCCCGGACTAGCAGAAGCACGGAAATACTCATTCCCGACCTAACCAGAGTCTAGGAGTGAGTGCGCGAGGTGGTTATAAAAGGCGTTCCACCCCCAAAGATGAGGTATGCAAACTTTGCGCTATCTGGTTTATCTTGCCTTTGAAAGATCCTAACTTAAGCTTCGGAGCCTTTACACCGGGTTCTCCCCGGAGCTTCTTCATCTCCTACGTTTCAGGTCCCCGCTACTCGATTCAGAGGCAAGGTCATTGACAGCTAAGATCGGCCGGATTGCGCATCATCAGAAAGTTTGACGAGCTCGCGTTTGACGAGCTAAAAGGTTACCTCACCAGTGTGCCATCCTTAGCTCGACCCGAGGAGGGCGAGGTCTTAGAACTATACCTCTCGGCAAGTGACGAGGTGGTCAGTTCGGTACTAATAAAGGAAACAGATCGGGTCCAGCGACCCATATATTATGTTAGTAAAATTTTGCAGGGAGCAGAGACAAG